GGTGGAGGATGAGGAGGAGGAGGAGGGGGGGGGAGAAGGAGGAGGAGGGAGGAGATGGAGCAGCAGAAGGAGAAAGAGGAGGGCGGGCGAGGGCGAGAAGAAGAAGGAGAGGATGAGAGTAGGAGGTGGAGGAGGAGGTGGAGGAGGAAGTGGAGGAGGAGGAGGAGGAGGTGGAGGAGGTGGAGGAGGGAGGAGGAGGAGGAGGAGGAGGAGGAGGGGGAGGAGGAGGACACGCCTGCCCGTTCCTGTGCTTGGGGGAACCAGTAGGTACTCATAACGGTGTTCCCTTCTCCCAGATTCCAAGGCGAATCCAGCGGTGGCGACGAGGGCCTCCCAAGAGGGCCAATGACGGCTATAGGCAGGAGGCGGAGGCCTATAAGCAGGAGGAGGAGGAGGAGGAGGAGGAGGAGGAGGAGGAGGAGGAGGAGGAGGAAGAGGGGGAGGAGCAGGAGGAGGAGGAGAAGGAGGAGGAGGAGCAGGAGGAGGGGGATGAGGAGGCGGAGGAGGAGAAGGAGGAGGAGGAGGAGGAGGAGGAGAAGGAGAAGGAGGACGCAGGACACAGCATAGAACGTACAAGCAACGAATCGCGAGCACGCCAGAGCAAGGAAATATGGAGGGCACAACTTAAAACATAAGACGTGCCGCGTGCGAGGTCAGACCGCCATCGCACGCCTGAGAGACCCAACAGAAACTAAAACTTAACCCCGTTTGCTGGGTGCCGCCCGTCGGCGAGCCAGTCCCTGGCTCTACGCCGGGCGGGGTTCGGGGGACCCGACGGGCAGACCTCCCCAAGGGCATCGATTTTGGGAGAACCGATGGCCACACGAGCCCCACACCGAATACTGAACAAATATGGCCTAGAACGCTGGACCTTATGGCCGTCGCATTCGAAGAGGATGGATCCCACTCCCCACCGCCCCGTCGGCCGCAGCAGCAGCAGCAGCAGCAGCAGCAGCAGCAGCAGCCCCAGCAGCCTCCCCACCCCCTTGGCTACGCCACCCGAGCTGCTCAACAGCCAGGGCGAGGGCCTGGAGCATGGGCGGCGGCTCACATTTGGCCCCTGGTTTCAAAAGCGTTTTAACACTGGCAGGTGTCCGAGCCACGGCAAGACAACGCCTGCACTGCAGCGCGGACGAGCCAGGTGCCAGGGGGACAGGGTCATGGGCGATAATGACGAGCTCATCGCGCCTCTCCGCCACTTCCTTGGGCAAAGGAGGGCCAGAGTCCTGAGCCTCAGGACGAGCGCGAAACAACTGCACAGCCCTCGACAAGAACTCAAATGTACACTTGCACTCTTTGACGGAACGCTGGAGGGCATCGACCGCGAGTTGTGCAACAGCGACGTCTTTAGCCCCGAGTTTGGCGAAGAAATCGGCCCAAGCATTTCCCATGAAACGGTGGATCTCCTCAGCCGACGCTCCCTCGTCGACCAGCTGCTCCAAAGACCGATGCGCGGGAGTCCAGATCATCGAAGGCCACGAACCCGACCGCTCAGACAATCTATTACTCTTCCGCCATATCGAAGCGTGGCGCGCGAGGCCGCACTCAAGCTTAGAGTCCCAGCCCTGGCACTCGCGGACAAAACTAAGGTGATCGCAGACGATCGTGAGATCAGAAGGGCCCACGCGCATCGCCTGAAGGCCAGCCCACCGCTCACCCCGAGGCACTGTTTGAAGCAGTCCTGGCAGTCCGCCGAACTTCGCTCGGAGGGGCCAGCCATCCTCCGAAATCTCAACCACACTCCAGCCGCACCTCGCCGCCTCGGGACACGCGCCGGCCAATCCACTGCAGCCGGTGAAAAGGAGCGGGCCCCAGGTGCCTTCCGTGAGACCCCAGAGCAGGACGGGAGGGTGGGACAGCGGCGGCCAGCCTAACCGGGATTTGAGGGAGGCCGTACAAGAGAGGAACGACATCCCAATCCGCCCCACCCAGAGGATTCCTTGCTCCCGAAGGGCCTGCCGCTGCTGCCGCACGTCGTCCGGAAAAGGAAACTGAGCCTCCACCTCATCCTCCTTCTCCTCGGCGGCGAGCGCAGAAGGGCAATCGTGCAGCTGGTGGCCGAGTGTACCACGCGGTGCGCCACAGAAAACACATTTACCTGACGCACAAAGGCCGGCCTGGAATTTACGCTCGGGGGGCCAAAGGCCCCCGGACAGGGGGGCCCGAGCAGACCCTTGGCGAGCACCTGCTGGGAGGCACAACGCCGCGAGGCGCATCGTTCGAATCCAAATCTCCTCGGTTCCGGCAGCCTCAGGCCAGTGAAACGGGACCCTTCTCCAGAGCCAGCGCTCGACGCCGTCTCGGACCAGAGCTCGGACCTCGGACGGCGAAAACACGTACATGGACACAGCTTCGCCACGATCCGAGATCAGAACGTGGGGCGCCGCCATGTCCCAACCGATCCTGCGTAGGGTGAGGGTGAGGATCACCGCAGAGATCGGTCCAAAGCACATCCGCCAGGATCCCTGCTGGCCGATATTTTCACGAATGGCCTGCCACG